ATTGAAATTAAACACGGAAAAAATTAGTCCTCCATTATATTTCAATAACGACTGAATATAATAGAATCCACACAAACAAACAAACAAACACACGCACACACACATACATACACACACACGTACGCTCGCACACGCACACACACACACACGGTTTAAGAGCAGACAAGACCATCTCTGTCCATATGAAAAAACATCTTCACCTTTGTACTTTTTTCGTAAACTATTTAATCAAATTGAATAAAATTTTAGACACCTGTTTACAATTGTGGGCAAACAGTTATGATTTATAACTAATATCTGACGATATTTTTTAAAGTAAGTTGTTTTGATTTAACTAAGAATCTGAAATTTGGAAAAAAAAACTGTTGATTGTTTCTTATTTGAAACTTAACAACAATGTTTACTTTAAGATTTTCTTACGTAATAACAATGTCAAGCAGCATAATAATAATGTCAAGAATTACTTTTTATTTCCTAATTAATTTTTTTATTGTAAAAAAGGAAAAAATTTAGTTTTGAATTTACAAAAATGAGTTATAAGAAGTTTATATAAAGAAGGAATTTTTTTAATTTATTTAAATTTAATACTTTATAATATTACTAATTATTATCATTAGGGTTTATATTGTTCGTGTATAATTTATCTCAATAGTAAACCAATTTTTTAGTGATAATAATTTCAATATTTGTTACTTTTTTAAATTAAAAACTTAATAAATACCTTCAAAATAAATTTTTTATAAATTTAATTTACTTTGGGGTAATTGTTGAATGTGGACAAGTTTTAATAAACAAAATTAACAAATGACTACAGTTTTTACAATTTCTTTGCCATAACTAATCTAACAAATCTACGTAATGATTAAATTCACTAATTTCGTGGTCCGCTTGACCAATTAATACATTACAATTAATTAAGGTTTTTAGGTGAGATGAAAAAAAGTTAATGGCACGAGCGGGATTCGAACCCACGATCTTCGGCTAGATACGCCGCTGCTTTACCACTTGAGCTATCGTGACCTCGATCCACTCGGACATCAACTTCCTATCTCAACCCCACCTTATGAGTTTTCCCTCCTTTTTGCCATTTTTCAAATGTCGTGTAATCGGATTGGATTCTTGACGACAAATTGAAAAATGGCAGAAAGGAGGGAAAACTCATAAGGTGGGGTTTAGGTAGGAAGTTGATGTCCGAGTGGATCGAGGTCACGATAGCTCAAGTGGTAGAGCAGCGGCGTATCTAGCCGAAGATCGTGGGTTCGAATCCCGCTCGTGCCATTAACTTTTTTTCATCTCAACTAAAAACCTTAATTAATTGCTACGTAACGATCTTTAAAAGTGTTCAACAAAATCGGTCTCAATTTAAGATCTTAATTTTCTGCGTAAAAACGTGATTTTTCAGGACAGTAAAAATACCAAAAAACGTCTTAATATATGCGGTTTAACAATCGTTGAAGTCGTTTCAATGAAATCATGGAAACCATACAAATGTTACCTTGCTACAATGGTAATATTTCTCTCTGTCTGGTCCTCAATTGCTTCGAAAGCGAACTTGATTAGATGAATCCTGAAGCCACAGAAAATCGGAATTTGATCAAACAAAAAAAGGCGAAGTTCATAACCAAAGTACATTCTGGCAAATCAAGAGGTTTAATAAATAAGGTCCAAGATTATTTAAATATTTAAACGTAAACATTCTGAAACATAGAGATAAATTATATAGTGCAATTAAAAACAAGCTTTATATATGGAAATTTATTTTGAAGAAAAAAAGCCTAAACAATTTTTTTCGGAGTAAAAAACGCGTTTCAGTTCAATATTCAAAACATCTATTTCCTGAAAAAAATATTTTAAATGTTTAATAGTATTTTTTAATTTGTAGCGATTACAAAATATGAAGATAAATATTCCACCCGTTGAATGTCTTCATTTTCTCGCACAAGATTAATTCTGAAAAGGGATTAATTAACATCATTGAAATCACTTTTCCTTCGAATAACATCTTAAACGACTTGACTACAGAAGAAGGATCATACTCATCTGTAATTTACAGACATAATATTGGCACGTCTTAAATTGTGTAGATTTCCCCTTGGAAGGGATAAACAAATAAACGACAGGGTTCAGAGTTGTTTTATTCATACGGGGAAAACGTTTACCACCTGGGGATACTGTTTATCCCCGAAGCAAAACCATTCGAGTGTTTATTCAGCCGATAAGTGATACAAGTGACAGACACGTAGGTCGATAAGTTATACAGAACTTTTTGAATTATCATCTTCTAATTTTATCATGATGTGGATACCGGTAGATATTCGTCTCTGGCCAGAGTCGCTGAAAATGAACTAAACATAAACTTTTTTAAGTGATTTAATTTTTCAGGAGAGAGAAATACTACAAAAGTCCTAATTCTTGCTGTTTAATCACTGTTGAAGTCGTTTTACTGAAATCATGCAAGCCATGTAAAAATGGTAACATTTACCATTGTCCGGTCATCAATTTCTTCGGAATCGAACATTACGCAGTTCAATCCTGAGGGTCTCGAAAAATCGGACTTTGATCAAACAAAAAAGCCGAATTCTTTAGCCAAATTACCGCCAAAAAGCACGATTATCAAGCACCAAATTAAGAAAAATGGAACTGGCAACAAAATAATAACGGGACTAATTTATTTTTATTTTTGTTCAAACCCCAAAAAAATTCAATAGGATTTCGATGAAGAAATACTTTCATCAGAAAAAAGGTTAAAAATATGAAAATGGCCTAACTGTCCTCTTACTACTCCTTACGTTACCTTTTTGCTAAGCTGTGAAAACTAAATAATTTTAAAAAAATACATCTAATGCGTTATTCTTTTTCTGAAAACACAATTGGATACATGAAGTGGAAACAAATATTTTTTACGTTTTTTGGTCCTGTCTGTCTTTAAACGACAAGAAATGATAAAACGGTACAAAATCTACTCACGACTATTTGACAAACGAGCCAATTTGTCAATGATTCCCCAAAAATATAGATTTCTAACTATTCCATACCAAAACCATTGCATACTACCATAAGGGATATAAGCCTGGGGTTGTGCCATAAGCTTCGTACCCAAACTAATCAATAAAAAATATGCCAAAAATTTCTTACGCCTTTTTAGTAGCCAAGTACAATAAGAGAAATAATTTTAAAATTCTGTAAAGTATTTTACTCTTTTTTTTCGACCGGCTTGCAGTTAAGGCTATTTATTGCCTAGCTCCTCACGTATTGCCTAGCGCGTATTTCTTTAATCACCGATATCTTTGATGTTTAACCCTTACACACATGATTAACATACTAAATCTATTTAAATAATTATCTAACCTATATTAGGCGGGTTTCTAAACTTCTAGATATACAGCTAACCTCACTATGCTAAAATGATGGCGATTTTCACTTTTACGCCCTCCCTTCATTCACGCCAATAAATACATTCGCCCGCATTAACTATCCTAATTGTTTCGAATATTCTCTGGATAGGCGATGTTCTACACAGACTGTGATCATACTCACTTAACCGCTCATGCAAATAAATACATCCAGAACTGTAGTCACCGGTGTTACTGATATTTCCCCCTCTATATCACCCTGCAAATATTTACGATCAAATAACCGAGATTAGTTTGGTTTGTTTGTGGGTATTCGATTTTCCATCACAAACACTCGTTAACACACAATAACACTCACGCTAATAAATTCATCAAGGCAATTAACAATTTTTTTGAAGTCGTGAGGAGCAGTCAATGATAGAAAAACAACTTTTCCTTTTTTTCCCGTCCTTTGGGCCTTTATTCAGGTCATCTTCAGGGCATAAAGTGTGGTGCTATTCTTGTGGAGTCATATTGGTATTATGTGAAAGTGCTGTGAGACAAAACCAATATGACACCTGAAGAATAGCACCACACTTTATACCCTGAAGAAGACACGAATAAAGGTCGAAACGTCGGCAAAAGAAAAGAAGTGTTTTTCTAAACTACCTCATTATTGACTGCTCTTCACGACTTCAACAAATTATGACACAACAGGTCACTAATAAACCCGCAATTAAAGGTATTATTTCAACCTAAGTATGAAAGGGTTTCTGATTTTTTCTCAATCAGATGCCGATTTTCATTGCGCTATATTTTGGCACAAAATATTGTATTTTAACTAATATGAACTAATTTTTTGAAAAACAAAATCGATACCAATAAGTTTATGTTGGTTCAAAAGACTAAAATTTCAGTGTAGATACCAAAAATACTAAAATAGATACTAAATTACCTTTATAAACAACTATCTTTTATCTTAATGTGGCACATTACTGGTTCGTAACAGCGATTTGTTTTATCCATTTCCTCTCAATTTAATGCGGATGGTTGTTGCGGAAAATCTCAGAGAAAAAAGTTAATTTCATCAGAAAAAATTGTTCTTCTTATTCATGAAAATGAAAAAGTTACGAATCTCATCAAATTACGTTGTATTTCTTCAATAAAGATTTGAATTAAGTAAACGCTAGAGTTTTGTGCTGTTTTTTCCTTCAGCCCTTGTTGAAGATTACCGGTGAGGTTTGAAGAGAGCTGTAAAAAAGAATAGGGCAGAATCGCCTGAAATAGTAAAGGGAAGATTGGATAGTCGCTCCTTCCTCCGCACCCCTTTCCCTCCCTTTCAAGGATTAAGGCTCCCAATGTCACCCGGATAAAGGCACCTTCAGACACCGCCGGTTTTTGTCCTCTCCTCTGATTCCAGTTAGACGAGGGAGTTGGAATATTTTGACCAAACAGCTCTTCAAATTAATTACGCTACGCTCTTTTAATTAAAAATTATGCAAGTTTCATAACTCTTTGATTGATGATGTTATAAATTAGCCTTCATGATGTTAATTCGCACTGATTAACCAATAACAAAGCTTGACTTTTAAAGAGAGAGTTTTTAATTTAAACTTTTTATTATTTTTCGATGCTACTTGACAAAATGCTTATAAATAAGCAACCTACCTTGCGCGACCAGAGTATACTTGGAACAGGATTTCCAGACGCTTTGCATTCTAACGTTATCGTTCCTCCTTTCCTTGCTGTCAACTGGCCACTAGCCGGTGACGTCCTTATGCTCGGCGGTACTGAAAAATAAATAGTTTTTTTAGAATTTGTAAAAAGTAAATTAGTCAAATTGTAGTTTATTAGGTTATATAGAAGTTCAGTGTGTTTGGCCTATGGCGTTATTGAATGTGAAGCTGTAATCACCATTACAACATTGACACAAACAAAACACAAGTAAACAAATGACAATCGTATTACCTAGTTTACTTACTACTTTACTTCTTAGTTTCACTTTTTTTCCTAGGTCACGTCCATTCAGGTCAAGAGAGGTTTTTGTAACTTCTTCAACAGTTGGATCGTTGAAAACAACAAACTGAGAGTAAGAACTATTTATTAAAGTGTTAAACAACATACTCACCCCACCTTTATCATTTCTATGGTTGAGATTTGTCGGGATGGAAAAGCTATATTTTGGTTGTTCCCTATCACCCTGACTTACCTATCCTAGCTACTTTGGTTTGTCTGAGGAATTTTATCAATTCGTGAATTATAGTTAATTAAACATTTATTTAAAAAAATACAAATTTTCCTACAATATCAGAATTGTTTTCCAACGGTGTAGAAACAGAAAAGTCCTGAACTGAAACACTGATTGACCAAATGTTTGGGATGATGAATATGCAGTTTGGCAATTTACGATAAACAGGGTACTTTTTTGTACTTTCTTTGTTGATTTAGCCTCTCAGCGAAGAAAATACGATTAAAAATGTACAAAAATGTACAACGAAATCCAAAGTAACATAAAAGTGATTTAAGCTAAAATCATTCTTCAGTTAAGCTAAAATCAGCTACAGTAGCGATAAAGTCTGACCAGGATAGACTGAAATGACCAACTTTAAATTTACTAATTACTAAACGTACGATGTAGTATTTTAGTACAATGTATTATAGTTTGGTATTTTATTATATGTGGACTAAGATTATCCTGGTTTATCTTTGTTAGATATGTCAGCCGGTCGGACGCGTGTCGGTATTTTCAGTGTTTTGCCTGTGTTATTTCTTACAAACGAGCAAGAAAACGACCAAACTTAATAAAATACGTAAACAGTTTCTTACAAAAACTAAGAAAGAGAAGATAAAACTAGTGTGGATTAAGATCCATCACTCCAAAATGCATGGATCATTTCGTATTAGCTTCGTCTGCCTAAAACGCACGAAGATTCATTTCAGTTTTATTCCATTTTATTATACTCTTTGTTGATTTGGTCTGTCACAAAATAATCATCGACTAATGAAGGTAGCGAATTGGCGAAACTCCTCTGACATACAAAATCAACGAAGATGGGCTGAGATATGAAGTTCGGTGACAGCTATTTTACACATCAAATATGTGAACATTGTTTTTGGCCTTTGACTTCATTGAAAGAAAATTAATAAAAGAACTACTAGTAGTTAAAACTCCATTAATACCAACAAACTAGATACATAGCTACGTTCAGTATTTCATTTCTACAAAAGTTTGTACCTCGTCAAAATACATAATATCCGCTATTTTATTACACATAAAACTTCTAAACACGGCAAATGATCAGCCACGACCATACTAACAAAAACAACCACGATATTCTTAAGGAGTAAAAGAAAATGAGAGATTAAAAGGAACAATCATCTAATTGATCTTGAGTGTCTTGTTGAAGGGTTTTGTTTTTGAGAGGAACGTAATATTGAATTAATTAATCTGTATGTAGGTATCGGTTGAGATAAAAAAGTCAGTGTCATGAGCGGGATTCGAACCCACGATCTTCGGCTAAATATGCCGCTGCTCTTCCAATTGAGCTATCGTGACTTCGATCCACTCAGGCAATAACTTTCTATCTCAACCCCACCTTTTGAGTTTCCCTCCTTTTTGCCATTTTTCAACTGCCGTGTAATCTATTTGATTCTCGGGGACAAATGAAAGAGCCATGGACAGCTTTCGTTTCACTTATTAAATTCATTAGATTTCGTGGTCCGATTGACCAAATAACATCTTTCAATTAATTAATCTTTATGTAAGGTATTGGTTGAGATAAAAAAGTCTGACTTTTTTTTTAATTCACTGACTTTTTTCTCTCAACCAATGCCTTACATAAAGATTATTTAATTGAAAGATATTATTTGGTCAATCGGACCACGAAATCTAAGGAATTTATATTTATATGTATTGTTGTTTTTACTGTTATCATTATAATATTTTACTTTTAGTATTGAAGATTGAATTTAGTTAAATAAACAGTTAGCTAATTATAATCAATAATTATAGTATAAACGTCCGGATCGTTGTCAACACAATTAAAGACAGAACGGTCATAATTATATGACTTATGTTGCGGTCTGCGGTGTCAAACATGTACTTTGTTCGTTTATGATCATGTGGTCCGTTTATCTTCGCTAGTTTCTTAGGTCTGTCAGATCCGTCTGGTCTATTCGCTATTTTTAGTAGTCTGTCTGTGTGTTAGTGGTGGGTATTGTTATTTTTACAAATTTAAAACTAAGTTGAGGATGACAAGTCATGGCATATTAAATTTAAAAAAAGGATTACTTTGCAGAATGAATATTGACAGTATTAACGAAGTGACCTACCGGAATGTGGTTTTAAAATGAAAATATAGAATGAGAAATTTATGAAAAAGTAAAATCTTAGCAGATATTGGGTTGTCCGGAAAATAATGCAGGATTTTGGTATTAAACAAAAAAAAAGAAACTAGTTACTTTAAAGCAATGTTCTTTAATCAAAATAATTTCCCATACNATACAAATGAGTAATCCTGTAAACGTAAACAGAATATTTTATATAGATTTTTTTTAATGAAAACTTAAAATCCTGCATTATTTTCCGGACAACCCAATATATTACATCTTCCAATTTGAACCACATTCAAATATGGTGTCAATATAACACACTGAAAATGTCGAGGAACGTCTAACAGACCTGAGAAGAAAACAGAAAAGGATTTCAAATCAACAACTCTTTTGATCAAAAAATGATTAGGCTAAAAATAATACATAATTATTTTCCCACAATCAGCTTCTATGATTAACAGGAATTACTTTAATCTTTTGTGCCGGTGGGTAAAAAAAAAGAAAAAAGAAAATTGGGATTAAAGTCGTTTGTCAGCGAAATTACTCCTCTGGTTAGTGCCGCCCTAATCACATCGCTGTCTTCTACGGCCACAGTAAGCTAACTGCCACCACCGTATGTACTATTAAAAGGTCTCCTCTTTAAAATTCTATGCTTACCCAAGACCCTTTCGGCAACAGGACATCGAAAGGAGGTCACCTAAAGAAGGTAAATCGTTAAAAACTTGCCTCTATTTATTTCATTTTTGTATTATTACTGGCATAACTTTCTTTCCTTAGACAAATCCTGTATATAATGGATATTTGCGTTGAACCAAACGAAGGTAAACATTTCGAGGAAATGGATACTAAACATTCAGTGTACTGCCGCTTTATGTTTATCTTGACATATATGATTTACTACAGTAACAAATACAGTAATAATAATATAAAAATTTACTTTTTTAGATTATTTTGTCTTTCATATTATTCAATTGACATTTATATATTCGAAAAGTAGGTAAAATATGTGGGGCTTTTGTTGTAGAAAGATTAGGTCAGCTGAAATTACTTTTACTATAATGTGTGGTTAAATTATATCAAACCTGTATCATTGTTAACGTAGGTGATAAATATTTGCGAATTTCTTAATTAGGTTATCATTTAATTAGCATGATATCATAAATTTTCCCTAATATACTCAAAGACAAAAACCAAATACTTCTATATATTTGTTCATTCTCCATAATAACTAGGTGCAAAGATTAATACTTGACTTACAACGTAAACAAAACATTAATAACTTGTTACTTATCTTCTTATTACTAATCCTCTTATATTCTTCAGATCAAAAATAAATATTTGGAGATCGTGAAATGCGGCCTGATAGGACGTAGGTTTTAGAAAAACATTTTCTTTATCGTGCCAACGTTTCGATCTTTATTGATATCATCTTCAGAGCTCAAAGTATTTGTTTTCTGTGTAGACGTGTCATTCTTGTGTGCTGTGTTGAGAGTGACATGACTTACATCTACGTAGAAAACAAATACTTTGAGCCCGAAGATGATCTCAATAAAAGTCGAAACGTTGGCACGATAAAGAAAATGTTTTTCTAGAACCTACGTCAGACCAGACCGCATCGCATGATCTCCAAATAATCATTGGCTAACTGTCTCTAATTACCATACATTAAAAATAAAGAAAAATCAATTGAATTTCATCCTTTCCAGAGCCAACTTGTCGAGTGAGTTAATTGGTACATTAATTTTTTTCTTTAGCCACTTAATTTTTTTTTTAAAGCGTGGTTTTAAGTCGAGAAGATCTCACCCGGGCCGATGTTTTGGCCGACGACGGACGTATTTCCGTTACATCAGGGAGAAGGCAGAGGCCTCCAAGGAGCAATTCTGTTAGCACAATAAACATATGTACCCCCAAATATTGGAGGAATATCGAGTTCTCTGAAGTAGTGTGAATGAATTGTGTTGTGTAAATGTAATTTATTAGCGCAAATAAAAAGGCTTAACCCCAAATACTTCGAGGAATATGAAATACTCTGAAGTAGTGGGAATGAATTCTATTGTGTGAAGGTAATTTATTAGAACAAATTAAGAGATTTAACCCAAAATATTTCGAGGAATATCGAGCAGTCTGGAGAAAAGGGAACAAAAATCTGACGAATCTAATTTATTAGCGCAAAAAAAGAGGTGTATCTTGTGGACGAAGTCTGGAATGTGAATGCATCTTATTAACGGTAGTTTTAAAATAGAAGAAGAAAAATCCAAATCAATTTCGTCTTATTGTTGATTGTACAAACATGCCTTAGTATAATAAACATGCCTGTTTAAGAATTAATTGAAGATTGGAGAAACCCGACACGCGTCTCACAGACGAAAATAACGGAAGAATGTGTAGGCACAAATGTCCAAAACATAGATAGTTATAGTAATTTGCAAGAAGGGTTCTTTTCTTACTTTGATAGAAC